ACTATGTCAGATATAGCATTACATCCACAATGCAAAGGTGCCTCTTCGATTCTACGATCAACTTTTAAGATAGCACTTCCAGTTAAAACTATTCAGACCAGATCCGGGCATTCTCCCGTCGTGTGCAATTCCCACAACTCATATGTGTCAGCAACTCATCTCAATACTTTCGCACTTTAAATTGACGGAAAGCGAGACGGAGGTGCAGAATAGTATAAGTTACTTTGTAACAGGGTGAGCTCAATTCATAAATTTAATACGAATACATTATTTTTTAATATTATCTATTTGGATAATATTCAATCTACATGATTAAGAAGAGGTGTTTTTGACAGAATATTACCCACAAATGTAATATTCGTGGGTGCTCCACTTATCGGTTGATGTAAACGCTACATCAATCAAATTCAATCACCAATCGCTGCTGGACGCGCGCAATGGATGGTGAGCATGAAACCCACATAAAATATTGTAGTTCAAATATAGTTAGATGCAGACAAAGATGGTGTATTTAAAAAATGAAACTAATAAATACAAACCTACTTATTCCCTCAGACAGAGCTTCCAAGTTCTTTGTACTTTCTCGTGTTTCCTTAGCGCCATGTGTCAATCGATGCTGGTTCTGGTCATTGCTGCAGTTGACATTGCTAAACCTGGTTCTTCTTATGCAGCTGAGTTTTGCTGGTGCTTATAATTCTTGTGAAGATATTGCTGGTACCGGTACCACTGCTGTCGTTTTGGTGCTGACGAAGCTGATGCAGTGTTTTTGCAGCCGATGAAGTGGTGATTGTACAGATACTTCTGGATCGGTCGCTGCTGGTGTTCTTGTTGCTGCAGCCGATGTTGCTGCTACTGTTGCTTCTGGATCAGTTGCTGGTGGTGCTACCGCTGCTGAAGCTGTCAAGCTGGTGCTGTTGATGATTGTGAAGAAGGTGCTGGATCGGTTGTTGCTGTTGCGCTGTTGCTTCGGCAGATGTTGATTCCGAAGATTCTGCTTTACTACGGAGCTGGGGCTGTCCTCTCTTAAAAAATCTGATTTTAAGACGTTTCTGTAACCAGCTGTGCTGCTGTCGTCTTTGGCGCTGACGTCACTGAAGCTGTCGTTTCTGGACAGCTGATTGTGGAGGCGTTGCTACATCTGATACTATTGCTGTCATTGCTGGGACTGTCGTTGCTATAGAAGCTTCTTTTAAACACTTCGCTGGGTTTGACACTTCCTCTGTCGTTCTTGTAGCTAGTACTTCTGCTCCAGAAATGTGTTGCTGGAGCTGCCTCCACTTAAGCTGACACTGCTCGTGCTATCATTGCTTATAAAGACGCTTCAGCACCGTTGCTTCGATCTCCAGCGGTGCTGCCGCGCCATATTTTTTCCTTCATGCGACGGCAAAAGTCGAATGGGCGTCGTTTCAAGTCAAGACTGGCTGCTATCCGATAATTTACGTGCAGTACTCAATCTCAAGCGTTTGATTTATCTAGCCTAAAGTATGCATCATTTTCTTTATCAGCGCCGGCGGTCTATCGCTTCACTCACTACTCTTCTCAGAACTGATACTTCAAGTACAGTACGTGCACTTTAAAGCTCCATTTATGCTGCTTATAGTATGCGATATTTTACTATCAACCGCTGGTCTTTTATCGCGTCACTACCTTTTTACACAAATTATGTGCCCTGACAACACCAGCAGCGACATATCCGATAACGCCTAAATAGCAATGAAAGCAATGGACCCAGCCTCAGCGACATCATCACAAGCACCTCCAGCATCGGCAACTCAGCGACAGTAATGACAGATGTAGTTATATCATTACATCTATAGCTCATTAACGACTTCGCAAGCACCTCCGCCGACAACATCTTCTGTAGCAATGATGGCGCCAGCAGTGACAGAGTCAGCAACGGTAGCACCAGAGCCTCAATCTTAAAAAACACCAGCTGCAGTGACAGCAGCACCATCAGTGATCGCACCAACAGCAGAATCACCAGTGATGCAGCTCCTGCATTGACATCAGTAGTACCAGAACCAGCAGCATCTCACAAGCATCTCTTGTAACAACGTCAGCACTAGCAACGACCGATCCAGCAACATCTCTACAATCATCAACAGCATCAGCTTGACAGCTTCAGCAGCGGTAGCACCATCAGAAACTGATCCAGAAGCAACAGTAGCAGCAACATCGGCTGCAGCAACAAGAACACCAGCAGCGACCGATCCAGAAGTACCTGTACAATCACCACTTCATCGGCTGCAAAAACACTGCATCAGCTTCGTCAGCGCCAAAAACGACAGCAGCGGTACCGGTACCAGCAATATCTTCACAAGAATTATAGGTACCAGCAAAATCAGCTGCAGAAGAAGAACCAGGTTTAGCAACGTCAGCTGAAGCAATGACAGAACCAGCATCGACCGTCCAGCATCGTCTTCACAAGCACGTCAAGCACCACCACATCAGCTGCAGCAACACAGCATCGGAAACGTTGGCCCCTCATTTCAAAATCTCGTTTTGATTCAGTCTAAAGGTGACCTCGATCGCGAATCTCCTTGGGTTGGGGACGTCGGCTATCTTTACTTAGGTAAATATCATGCTGGAGGTCATCAAGGGGGAAGAATGCTTTAACCCGGCGTGGAGGTGAACCGGGTTGAGTCGCAGTAGATCGACGCGATCGCAGAGAAAGTTGAATGGGAAGCTGGTGAGAAGGATGAAGAGCAGGAAGAAGGAGAAAGATTAGCTCAATGGAAATGTATGTATTGATGTACAACCTTCTTTTCTATTGTTCATGTCTTTTCGTCGTCTATTTTGCCTATATGATGTGAGCTGTGTTCGGAGGCGCGCTCGCGAACTTGAGGCTGTGTTCAGCGGATATATGCGCTCTTTAAGCACTTTGAAGTGTAAGTTGTGGATTCCATCGTTAATAGTTCTTTGGTACGATTCGTGCGTGCAGCTGGTGCCGCCGACCCAGTACTAGACACGGGCGAAGAAGACCGACCGCTCCGGTGTGTGGTAACCTGCACACTAACCGTCAAAGTATCTATGCAGGGCACCGATGAGCAACACCCTTACCATTCGGAGCTCCTCGGGCAACAGGATGCGTGCGAGTTCCGCTTTGGCGAAATCTTGAACTCGGCGGCGCAGTTATTGCCGTTTCCTGACGGTAAAAATTGGAGATTTTCTTCGCCACGCGCTTGAAGTCGCCGTCGCCTTCCTTCTAAGGACACAAATTGACCTCCGTAGACACTGTACTTAACACGATCACAGTCAGCGGAGCGTGTGAGAAGGTACTTGTGCTCCAGTTGAACCGTTCGGGGCTTTAGTCGTCTTTTTAGAGCGATGGCGAATCAATAAATCTCGCGTCAAAGCCAGTCCAGCGCAAATCTCACCGGCAAGATGTTGATGCCGTCGACCATGCGATCGAATCCGTTTACCATGCAATTGAATCTTGCGTCGTCGCGGCTGCGTTCAGCGCTGTGCACTTGGGTGGTGGCTTGAGCGGTGGCTAGAGCAGCGATAAAGTTCATCACAAGCTTTAGATTGTTATCGTAGAGCTTCAGGATCTCATCGGCGATCTTCTGGTTAGTATCGGCGAGCTTCTGGGTCTCGTCTTCCAGGTCCTCCCACCCGGGCGCGGAGTCGAGCGAGTTCTTCTCCCATGGTCATGATAGCGCGGTGTTGTTGAGTCTTTGTGGTGGGAATCTCAATGGTGCAGCAATTTATTTCAAAAAGAGAAAAATATGTCGTGCACATCAGTGAGGTCTTCAAAAGTATGGTTTATTTAAAAGCAAGCTACAATTGGCGAACGACTGACAACAATTTAAACACGTCGGATCCGTTAGCCGATAGGTGGTCTGTCGAACGCCTTTTTGCATACTAGGTTCTGGATAGAACAGTCTTTCGTAAAATCTGTGTCTTGTGTGACCCCCTTAATGTACACCATCCATTATCCATCTGTGGTCTGTGTTTGTAGACTTTTTCTGGTCTGAACAAGTGTTTTGTCGGATCTTCATGTTGGTGTGGCCCGATCAGTTGTATTTGATCTGAGGTCCATCTATGGACTGCTTCAGGTCTGAACAATCTAACTTTACATTCTTTATATTTTTGTGGTCCGATCGGATGTATTTGTTGGGGCGTTTGCACCGATCCACCGTACGTTCTGCAACATCGATCCGCGAGACGATCGAGTGCTGCAGGTGTCAGTGCGCTCTGCAGTGTCTGTGCCAGGCTGCCGTGGTGCTCGAAAAGACCATCAGGACACGTCATCATCAGGCAAGCCGAAGGACTGGCAGGTTTGTTGATGTTTCCGACCTTGGGAGATTGTGCTCAGACCCAAGTGCATATTACGATCAGTGAGACCGGGGATGCACGCGTTCAAGTTACTCCAGATTCGGGAGAGTTTCACCGGCTATCCAGACGTGACTCAGTTTCGCAGCAACGAGCGGCAGAGATCATGGTTTACGAATGCCAGATTCGATGCAAGCAGTGATGGAAATGTCGGAGAGAATGAAGACAAAAGCAGCGGAGATGATGTAATAGGCGATGGCAATGAGAATGATGATAGTGAAAAAGAAGAGGAAGAAGAAGGGGATGGAGATTAAGATCCAGACAAAAGCAGCAGTGAGTGAAGAAGACTGCCCGCTAGATGACTCTCGAGCCAGCGCAAAGCGCACAACAACATCGTCGACGGTCTGTTCCTGTTACAACGTCAACGTAGACGCGGGGCACTGCCGGAACCATTGGTTGGTCAGTCCCGAACACCAAAATAAATAATAACAATTTGATCTTTACTCCAGCCTCGAGCACCTAAATAAATAATAACAATTTGATCTTCCACTCCAGATGTGCGGACTACACACCGCCGAGGCGCATTCGAGTCAAGCATTGAATTTATTGTCTTCTAGCTCGTTAGATGATGCATCACGTGTACCTCTAGAGTAAGTCGCTGTCGCGCCGTTTGTTCTAATATAATATGACATACCAAAGCAAACTGACTGACCCTTCATTCTCGTTTACGACGTTCTACGTTTGCGACTCTTGGCCTTCAAAATGCGTCTACCTTTGGCGTGCTCCGGTGCAACACCAATGCTGAATGAGACAGCAGAGGGCGCGATAAATGCACCTGCAGCAGGAGCTCCGAAACCAGAAGCGGATGGCGTCGCACCGAAAGATGCGTTCGGAATAGCACGGAAGGTCGAAGCTTGGGCTGGGACTGGGGCTGGGGGCTGGGGCATAACCACCGTTCGTGCCAAACCTGCCATCAGTCGGGGCGCCAGAACCGCCTGCAGCAGGAGCTCCAAAATTGAAAGCGGAGGGCATAGCACCGAAAGCTATACTCGGGTCAGTGCCGAAGGACGAAGCTGGGGCTGGGGGCATAACCACCGTTCATGCCAAACCTGCCGTCAGTCGGGGCGCCAAAACCACCTGCAGCAGGAGCTCCAAAATTTGAAGCGGATGGCGTCGCACCGAAAGCTATACTCGGGTCAGTGCCGAAGGACGAAGCTGGGGCTGGGGCATAACCACCGTTCATGCCAAACCTGCCATCAGTCGGGGCGCCAAAACCGCCTGCAGCAGGAGCTCCAAAATTAGAAGCGGATGGCGTCGCACCGAAAGCTATACTCGGGTCAGTGCCGAAGGACGAAGCTGGGGCTGGGGCATAACCACCGTTCATGCCAAACCTGCCGTCAGTCGGGGCGCCAAAACCGCCTGCAGCAGGAGCTCCAAAATTTGAAGCGGATGGCGTCGCACCGAAAGCTATACTCGGGTCAGTGCCGAAGGACGAAGCTGGGGCTGGGGCATAACCACCGTTCATGCCAAACCTGCCGTCAGTCGGGGCGCCAAAACCATCTGCAGCAGGAGCTCCAAAACCAAAAGCGGAAGTCGTAGCATTGAAAGCTATACTCGGGTCAGTGCCGAAGGGCGAAGCTTGGACTGGGGCATAACCAACGTCCATGCCAAACGTGCTATCAGCATGGACATAATCAATGTCCATGCTACACGTGCCATCATCTGGAGCGCTAACTGCATCTGCAGTAGGATCTCTGAAACCAGAAGTGGGAGCTTCAGTGCCAAAAGCCGTGTTTGGAATGGTGCCAAAGCCCGGAGCTGCAGGAGTGAAACCAAATGCAGAGGTCGGAGTTGGAGATGCAGAGGTCGGAGTTGGAGGGAGAAAGTCAGAGCTCGGTGGGCCATTGCCGAATTCACTGCCTGTCTCAGGAGCATCAAATATAGTTCCAAATCCACCGCTTGGACCGCCGGTGCAAGCTCGGTGGGCCATTGCCGAATCCACTGCCTGGCGCAGGAGCAACAAATGTAGTGCCGAATCCACCACTTGGACCACCGTTTCAAAGCCGTTAGGAGCTGGGGCACTCGACGCACTGAAAGCGAGCGTCGGCTGGGTGTTTGTCGGCGTAGTCGCAGTTTGTGCTTGACTAAATCCTCCGAAAAGAAATGGCGGTGCAGCTTGCAACGAAGACGTGGAGCTGCCATACGGAGTCGAGGGAGCAGCAGCCGAAGTACTACCGAACCCTCCCGCAGTGGAGCTGGAATCAGCGCCACCAGATGAGCTCGACCCAAAAGCTGACGACGCAGTACCAAAGCTCGTTGTGGCAGGTGCCCAACAGAACGCTGTGGATTCCATCGGTTGCGGAGACGACGCAGTGCTAAAACTTGTGAGAGCAGGCGTGATTGAGCCAGCAGCCGGCGTAGCAGTACCCTTGTCTGCGGCCGCTGTAGCTTCGGTGGTTGTACCAAAGCTAAGTCCAGTCAAAGGACACTTTTCAGTCGTCTCCAACAGTGCAGTACGAGCTTTTGCCGCAGAGCCACCATCAGATCGAGCGGTTCCACAACATGGACATCTGCCACTGGTAGCCTCGTTCAAGACACGGCATCCAGTACACTTCCACTGTCCAGGTTTTAGCTGCATAAACCTGGCGAGAGGATTAGCAGCACCGCTGAGAGAAGCAGCAGGTGTAACTGCCGGCATATCAGCACTAAGCTTCGTGGCCTCCTCGGCCGCGACAGACTTTTTGCCGTCATCCTTCGTAGTTTTCTGGTTCAAAACTTTCACGGGAGGCTCGCGCATGCTGGGCGAAGGAGAGAACACAAATCGGACACGGGTATCCTTATCATCCGCCCCTGCGTGTTTCATTCCTTCGACGCCAATAGGAAGTATAACCCCTAATCCACCAATCGTCTCCATCTCTTGCTGCTCAAGAACAGTTCTCGTGGGAGTCGATGCAGAGGTCATCGACGTCACCTGAGACGAACTTGGCGCAGGCGCATCAGTTGACGCAGCAGTCGCACTTCTCGAAGTCCCCGACACGGTCGTCGAAGGTGTCGGCTTGAGTGTCTTCTTCCGCCGGCGGGCTCTGCACCTTGTTTAGCACCAATATAATGCTTCTCGCAAGCGCATCAGAACACATCTTGCTTGTAGCAGCATCGCGCCTAGGCAACAGCGGAGACGAACGTGGCTTACGCAACCGGCGTTCCTCACGCGTCAGGAGTCCGCGCTGAGTAGCGCCAGGGCGTCTCACTGGTTCAGTCTCGTGCGTTCTTGGACGCTTACCGGACGGCATATCACTCTTCACCTCATCTCCCGATTCACGTTTCTGCTCACTTCGAGCGGCCGAACGACCACGGTTCTGCGCAGCAATAGAACCAGGCACAAAACTTAGCTCCGACTTCACGCCAGGACAGCTTGGCGTCACCAGGAGCCCGAGATCCATTAACAAATATGCTTGCGTCAACTGTTCGTGAGGCGTTGTCCCGACCATTTCGTGCAGCTGGTGCTGAAGACGCTCAAACTCGTCAAGCGAGATTTTCTTTTTCTCTTTGATGATCTTCGCGTGCCACGTCGAGCGGCGACGGAGAAGTGGGTACCTGTCGCTCCTGCGTGCCAGCAGCATTCGGCGTCTGAGGCGGTCGCGATGATCCGAAGATGCCCTCACGCTCTCTCACGTATTCGCCGCACTTGATCCATCACAGCGCTAGCGCTTTCCCTCTCTTGCTTGCTCTCACACGGCGGCCTTGAACGACGACACTTGCGCGGAGGCGACAGTCTTGTGGCAACTTTCTTCTTCCCTTGACCTGCAGGTAGCGTCGAGCGGGTCACCGGCGGCACCGCCACGTCCACCGCGTCCTCAAGCGTATCACGATGCTGAACTGTTGCTGCTGCTGCACCTTCTTCTTCTTCTCCACATCCACTGGCACAAACGTTTCCGGCACCTTTTTTCATCTTCGCCTCCATCTTCACCACCATCACGGTCCCGTCCCTCGCCCTCTTCACCAAAGTCCTCTTGCGTCGTCCGAATCTGGTCACATGTCTTCAAGACCGACGACTCTACATCGTCCGTGTCGTCATCAACACCAGCGTCCGCGCCGACATCCAAATCCACATTCGTACCCACGTCTTCCTCCGCCACAAACCTGTTCACAATAGGAATATAACGTGCGAGACGGACAAAGAAACCACTCGCGGGCGCGCGCGCAGGCTCGCGATCGCCACGACGCGCGTCGTTGTCGTCTGTTTTCTGGCGCTTCGACGCGGTAAACGGCGCACTGTCCGCTCGGCGGCGGCGGTGATGAAGGCACTCCTCGTTGCAGCCCTTTTCGCCACGGTTGGGGGTCGTTGTAGACGACGACAGTGACGGGCGCATGACAGGAACGCGAAATGGGGCTGGTCGAGTGTCTTGATCGGAGGTCGTGGTCGGTGTCAAGCTGAATGACTGAATTTGAGACAGACCGAAACACAGAGGTTTGTTTGTCGATTTGGTGTGGAGCGCAATCGGCCAAGCGCTTGACTTGACAAAAAAGGTATGACAAAAAGCAATGGCGCGATCGACCAAAAGCCTTGCTCGAACAAACAAGTAGGACAAAAAGCGAATGACGCGATCGACCAAAAGCCTTACTTGACCAAAAAGGTACGACAAAAAGCAATGGCGCGATCGATTAAGCGCTTGACTTGACCAAAGTAGGCTAAAAAGCATGGTGCGATCTACCCTCTCAGACCTAATTATTCATTGTGTGGAGGGGGAAACGATACAGACGCGCAGTGGCAATGTCGCCCGTCAGTTTGCACTACACTTGACGACGTGTCGTTATGCACCAAGCGGGCGCAGCAGTGTCAGCCGTATGAGCCACCGCAGCGGCTTCCTCAACACGCTCGTGTCCAGCCACCGTCTCGAGGTCACGCTCGCCAACATGCATGCTGGAATGGGATCCAGACCACCGTGCCATCCCATTTCCCGGTCTGCTCTCTGATGCGGTCTGGGCGTACACGTCAAGCCGCAAGCCAGATACACGAAACCTGGGCTGCTCGGTCGCATGATGGGTCTTACTTGATTGATGGATGGAAGGAAGGCGTAAACCACGAGGCATCACACGTTCCCCGGGCCCATGTCGAGTCCATCAGTGGCCCTTGCAACAGCGTGTTGGAGTCAGAAGGCGTTCGTGCTGCGATCAAAGCGTGTGCCTTGGCGCAAGGGATGGAATCGGACGATGAGAATGTCAGCTGCCAGTATACTTGAGACCATGGCCGCACAAATGGATTACAAGGCTGTGCGTAAGTTTGGCAGGCTTCTCCGGAAGGTCTGTCGAAACATGTACGACCAAATCCTGTGGACGAGACGGGTCTGACTCCAATTCGCGACCTTCCGGCCGACCGCCGTGGAAGCGTCGCCTTGTCCCGATCGTACGTGGACTTTTTGCTCATGAGCTACGTCTTCTTCGCTTACACCATCCCCGTTCCATACGTTGTCGCTGGAGAAGGTTTTTACATGCGGGCACCCTCACCAAACTGCTACGTGAGTCTGGAGCTTACTTCATTCGCCGATCGTTTTCCGATGACCCGTTATATACCGCTGTGTTCCGAGCGTACACCCAGTACTTGGTATCGAGAGGATAGACGATCGATTTCTTTATTGAAGGTTGACGCAGTCGCAGTGGCAATCAACTGCACCCCCAAAGTTTGGTATTGTTAGCACCTTTGTGGATTGCTACATGTCTGGGAGAGTCAGTAATGTAAGTCGGTTTCGTATTGACGGATTGCTCGAGGCTCAAAGCTCAAAGATTGACATGTGTTTTCGTTTCGTGCTGCTAGCTCTACATCGTACTTGTGACTATCGACTATGAAAAGCCGCTGGAAGTACTGCTGCACCAGAACGAGCTACTAAGCGAGGCAAAATTCGGAGGTATGCTGTCATACATTCTCTTTGCTGCTGCATGCTTCTTGTGCGTTTACACTCATTGTCGTGTTCGCTTCGTAGTCGATCAGCGTTTTGTTCAAAGCCATGCCAGTCGTGCGAAAGCAGTTGGCTCGATCTTGGTAAAGTTTGGTGCACCGTTGGATGTGAAGCAGTATGTCGATGCAACTATCGCGCACGCCGAAAAGAGGGAGGAGATCGCTGTGCCGACGTCTGCTGTTGTCGAAGATGTGGGATACGCCATCACGAACGCACGAATTGAGAACGCAACGGGTGCCATGTCACACATGGTGGCCACTATTCTGTTGGTGTACCATCGAGGGATCTCAAAGACATATCTCGTGCATCAGGCGAATCGGCTAAAACTGGGAATGCTGCGACGACGAGGTCGCGCAACTACTTCTCTAGCATGCATTGGTATCCGGGACACGTTGGGCACTGTGGTGGTCCGCAAACGACGTTGAAGTATCTTGCAAAGCCGTGCGCGTATTTCTCTTGGTGCGAAAACTGCGCGAAGTGTGGATGCGAGCTACGTAAATGATGGTCTCGAGTGGCTGGTTGCCAACCGACGTTGCATTGCCTTGCTTTGCACCACGCTGCTGTGCTGTAGCGTATCACTCGAGCAGCAGCGACACGAACTCCTGGAGAGCATCCGCGGCGCCAAGACGGAGGAGATCTGTTTGTGTACGTGTTGGAAAAGAAGAGGTGGAAACTTTCGTAGCGTACAAGCTTCCTTCCCGGTGGCGTTGCAAGCAAGTAGACTCTTCATCGCCGTGTGATTGTCTCCTTCCGCTTGAGAGAGCTGAGTCCACTACTTCTCTAGCATGCGCTGGTATCCGGGACACGTTGGCACTGTGGTTGTCCGCAAACGACATTGAAGTATCTTGCAAAGCCGTGCGCGTATTTCTCTTGGTGCGAAAACTGCGTGAAGCGTGGATGCGAGCTACGTAAATGATGGTCTCGAGTGGCTGGTTGCCAACCGACGTTGCAATGCATTGCCTTGCTTTGCACCACGCTGCTGTGCTGTAGCGTATCACTCGAGCAGCAGCGACACGAACTCCTGGAGAGCATCCGCGGCGCCAAGACGGAGGAGATCTGTTTGTGTACGTGTTGGAAAAGAAGAGGTGGAGACTTTCGCAGCGTACAAGCTTCCATTCCCGGTGGCGTTGCAAGCAAGTAGACTCTTGATCGCCGTGTGATTGTCGCCTTCCGCTTGAGAGAGCGGAGTCCACTACTTCTCTAGCATGCGCTGGTATCCGGGACACGTTGGCACTGTGGTGGTCCGCAAACGACATTGAAGTATCTTGCAAAGCCGTGCGCGTATTTCTCTTGGTGCGAAAACTGCGTGAAGCGTGGATGCGAGCTACGCAAATGATGGTCTCGAGTGGCTGGTTGCCAACCGACGTTGCAATGCATTGCCTTGCTTTGCACCACGCTGCTGTGCTGTAGCGTATCACTCGAGCAGCAGCGACACGAACTCCTGGAGAGCATCCGCGGCGCCATGACGGAGGAGATCTGTTTGTGTACGTGTTGGAAAAGAAGAGGTGGAGACTTTCGAGCGCACAAGCTTCCTTCCCAGTGGCGTTGCAAGCAAGTAGACTCTTCATCGCCGTGTATTGTCTCATGGCTAAGATTGCCTCCATCCGCTTGAGAGAGCTGAGGCCACTACTTCTCTAGCATGAGCTGGTATCCGGGACACGTTGGCACTGTGGTGGTCCGCAAACGACATTGAAGTATCTTGCAAAGCCGTGCGCGTATTTCTCTTGGTGCGAAAACTGCGCGAAGCGTGGATGCGAGCTACGTAAATGATGGTCTCGAGTGGCTGGTTGCCAACCGACGTTGCATTGCCTTGCTTTGCACCACGCTGCTGTGCTGTAGCGTATCACTCGAGCAGCAGCGACACGAACTCCTGGAGAGCATCCGCGGCGCCAAGACGGAGGAGATCTGTTTGTGTACGTGTTGGAAAAGAAGAGGTGGAAACTTTCGAGCGTACAAGCTTCCATTCCCGGTGGCGTTGCAAGCAAGTAGACTCTTCATCGCCGTGTGATTGTCGCTTTCCGCTTGAGAGAGCTGAGTCCACTACTTCTCTAGCATGCGCTGGTATCCGGGACACGTTGGCACTGTGGTGGTCCGCAAACGACATTGAAGTATCTTGCAAAGCCGTGCGCGTATTTCTCTTGGTGCGAAAACTGCGTGAAGCGTGGATGCGAGCTACGCAAATGATGGTCTCGAGTGGCTGGTTGCCAACCGACGTTGCATTGCCTTGCTTTGCACCACGCTGCTGTGCTGTAGCGTATCACTCGAGCAGCAGCGACACGAACTCCTGGAGAGCATCCGCGGCGCCATGACGGAGGAGATCTGTTTGTGTACGTGTTGGAAAAGAAGAGGTGGAGACTTTCGAGCGCACAAGCTTCCTTCCCGGTGGCGTTGCAAGCAAGTAGACTCTTCATCGCCGTGTGATTGTCTCATGCTAAGATTGCCTCCATCCGCTTGAGAGAGCTGAGTCCACTACTTCTCTAGCATGCGCTGGTATCCGGGACACGTTGGCACTGTGGTGGTCCGCAAACGACATTGAAGTATCTTGCAAAGCCGTGCGCGTATTTCTCTTGGTGCGAAAACTGCGCGAAGTGTGGATGCGAGCTACGTAAATGATGGTCTCGAGTGGCTGGTTGCCAACCGACGTTGCATTGCCTTGCTTTGCACCACGCTACTGTGCTGTAGCGTATCACTCGAGCAGCAGCGACACGAACTCCTGGAGAGCATCCGCGGCGCCATGACGGAGGAGATCTGTTTGTGTACGTGTTGGAAAAGAAGAGGTGGAAACTTTCGTAGCGTACAAGCTTCCATTCCCGGTGGCGTTGCAAGCAAGTAGACTCTTCATCGCCGTGTGATTGTCGCTTTCCGCTTGAGAGAGCTGAGTCCACTACTTCTCTAGCATGCGCTGGTATCCGGGACACGTTGGCACTGTGGTGGTCCGCAAACGACATTGAAGTATCTTGCAAAGCCGTGCGCGTATTTCTCTAGGTGCGAAAACTGCGTGAAGCGTGGATGCGAGCTACGCAAATGATGGTCTCGAGTGGCTGGTTGCCAACCGACGTTGCATTGCCTTGCTTTGCACCACGCTGCTGTGCTGTAGCGTATCACTCGAGCAGCAGCGACACGAACTCCTGGAGAGCATCCGCGGCGCCAAGACGGAGGAGATCTGTTTGTGTACGTGTTGGAAAAGAAGAGGTGGAGACTTTCGCAGCGTACAAGCTTCCATCCCGGTGGCGTTGCAAGCAAGTAGACTCTTGATCGCCGTGTGATTGTCTGCTTTCCGCTTGAGAGAGCTGAGTCCACTACTTCTCTAGCATGCGCTGGTATCCGGGACACGTTGGCACTGTGGTGGTCCGCAAACGACATTGAAGTATCTTGCAAAGCCGTGCGCGTATTTCTCTTGGTGCGAAAACTGCGTG